AAAAGGTGGGACATCTCGAAGGGGGCGGGGCTTACAGGTTACAGGTGGGTTTAAAAGATTCTTTGGCTTGTGATTGGTTAAAGACATGAAGCTTTGTCTAAAGGCTTGGAATGTTTCAACATAAGGAGCTGTGATCAGAGATAAGTCACTGGACATAGATTTGTTGTGTAAACTGAGGACCTGCAGGTGTGTCTTGCATACCCTTAGGCCTCTTAATGGGTTACAAAGGATGGCCCCAAGAAGGGAGGAGGGGCATGATGAGGCCTGTCTGACCTCCTTCCTCCTGGCAGACGATTTAATTTTAGGATATTCCCTTGGCCACTCGGGGGGTCCGTGCAGTCAGCCGGTGGGGCTGGGAGGGGTGAGCCTTAAAATGTTATTTTAGTTCACACAGTCTTGCTCTGCAGCCCAGCTCTAAAGAAACCGGAAGAATCCCTGAGGTCCATCTCAGGTTTCGTGTGAGGTTTTCAGCTCAGAAGCCACTAGGGCAGTAGCTCAGAAAAATGACAGAGGCGTTTCGGTGAGTAGCGCCTTTGTCTGAAAGACTGCTGAAGTCGTGGCTTATTCGCTCCCTAGAAAATCAGGAAGCAAGGAGGGGACGTGCTCCCCCTTCCTCAACCCAAAGTGACCATAAAAGGGGAGCATGGGCTGACATCAGAGCTGATCAGTGCTCTCACTCGGTAAATACATGCATCCTGGCCGGGCGCGGCGGTGGCTCACGCCTGTCATCCCAGCACTCTGGGAGGCCGAGGCGGGAGGATCTCTCGAGGTCAGGAGTTCGAGACCAGCCTGAGCAAGAGCGAGACCCGGTCTCTACTAAAAAATAGAAAGAAATTAATTGGCCAACTAAAAATAGGAAAGAAAATAAAGAAATAAAAAAAATTGTTTTTTAAATAAGAAAAAAAAAATATACATGTTTCCCGCACATCTGCGACTTGCAGAGAATGCCTGATTTTGCCGGGAAACCATTAGACGTGGTTGCACCCCAGGAACTCTGAGGCTTTGCCAGGGTGGATAGAGTTAACTATCCACACTGGCAGGGTCAGGAAGGAGGAAGCCCAGGAGGGCCGGGCAGGGTCAGTTGGTTCTAGAAGGCCGTGGCCCGTCCTGTCCAGGGAGAGGGAAATAAAGGAGGCAAGGCTGTGAAGTTTGTTAGCTGGGCTTGGGCTACAGAGTCAGAAGCCCGAGAGAGAGATCTTAGAGGAGGTGTCCTCAAGCTTTTTAACCGGGGGGCCAGGATTACAGGGGTGAGCCACTTCGCCGGGCCCCAACTTTTTTTTTTTTTTTTAAAGAAATCCAGCATATATATTGATAATGGGAGAGAAGAATCAGTGTATATCCCCCTAATTCATATTTGTTCAAAAGGCAGGCATGTAGCGAAGAAAAAAATATATATCAGAGGTCCTCAAACTTTTTAATCAGGGGGCCCAGTTCACTGTCCCTCAGACCGTTGGAGGGCTGGACTATAGAATAAAAGAAAAAAAAAACTATGAGCAAATTCCTATGCACCCTGCACACACATCTTATTTCGAAGTAAAAAAAACAGATGGGCAAAAACACACGCATGTGGCCCGCGGGCCGTAGTTTGAGGACGCCTGCCTTAGACCAAGAAGAGACAGGGTTTGTGTTTTCAAATTTGTTTTATAAAGAGGAACCTCTTTTGGCGAGGATGGCGAGGTGAGGGACAGATGGCCAGGGCCCAGGGACGCGTAGGAGGAGGAGGAGGGCATTCCGTGCGTGGCTCGCCGTGCCTGGCGCTGTCTGAAGCTTGGCTTGCTTTTCAGCGGGATCATGCTTAGAGAAAGGCCCCCGTCGCAATTTAATTCGCAGTTTGGGCCGGGTTCGGTGGCTCACGCCTGTCATCCCGGCACTCTGGGAGGCCGAGGCGGGAGGATCGCTGGAGGTCAGGAGTTGGAGACCAGCCTGAGCAAGAGTGAGACCCCTGTCTCCACTAAAAAATAGAAAGACATTAATTGGCCAACAAATATATATAGAGAAGAAATTAGCCGGGCGTGGTAGCACATGCCTGTAGTCCCAGCTACTCGGGGGGAGGCTGAGGCAGGAGGATGGCTTGAGCCCAGGAATCTGAGGTTGCTGTGAGCGAGGCTGACACCACGGCACTCACTCTAGCCTGGACAACAAAGCGAGACTCTGTCTCCAAATAATAATAATACTAATAATTCTCAGTCTGATGTCACTATGTATAGCCGTGTGTTCTTGGGCCAGGAGCTTGGGCACACTCTGCCCCGCCTTTCCCATCTGAAGAATGGAGACAGCAGCGGTGCCCGTGCCCAGGGTGTGTAGTCAGTGTGAGCTTAAACATTGCACCTGACGGTTGTAACCCTCAGAGCTGCGCGTGTGTGGCGCGTGCTCGATATTATTTTTAAATTTTTTTTTTTTTGATCTGTGCATTGACTTGTTCGTGTAACGCATGTGAATTTTCTGTTAAGACAGTGCAGCTTCAAGCAACCAACCGCAGGTTGTCGGGAGTAAATTTAGGTTGTCATTGGTAAATTTTGGTTGTCGCTAGTGAATTTAGGATTGTCGCTAGTAAATTTAGGATTGTCGCTAGTAAATTTAGGATTGTCGCTGGTAAATTTGGCTTGCCGAATTATAGCTGACATTATTATTATTATTATTATTATTATTTGAGACAGAGTTTCACTTTGTTGCCCGGGAGCCTAGCTCACAGCAACCTCAAACTCCTGGGCTCAAGCGATCCTCCTGCCTCAGCCTCCTCCTGGGTAGCTGGGACTACAGGCATGCACCACCATGCCTGGCTAATTTATATATATATATATATATATATATATATATATATATATATATATATATCTTTAGTTTCTTCAATTAATTTCTTTCTATTTACAGTAGAGACGGGGTCCCGCTCTTGCTCAGGCTGGTTTCGAACTCCTGACCTCGAGCCATCCTCCCTCCTTGGCCTCCCAGAGTGCCGGGATGACAGGCGTGAGCCACCGCGCCGGGCCAAGCTGACATTTTTCATTTTATTTTATTTCCCCCCCCCCTTAAGTCCTCTTGGGCCCTACATTTCCAGCAGGAAATGGGAGGGTGAGATCTGTAAATTAAAACAGCTCCTTCCTTGCCCCCCACCCCCTCACCCCACCCACCAGGGTGCAATGTGAGCAGACAGTGTTGCAAAGAATGCAGCTGTGGGGCGGTCCCTTGTATACCCCCGTGGGTGATGAGAGCCAGGGGAACTGTGAAGAGACGCCCCACTGCTGGGAAAGCCAGGCATTTTTATTTTACGGTGCAGCGTGGTTCCCTGATCTCCATAAACAGATTCTGACGATTCTAGACTAACAGCGCGAACCACCTTTTAACGCAGACGCAGGAACACCTTCAGAAAAATCCGCACTGTGAAATCTTACCCGCTTGTGCCTCTTTGCTTTCCTCTTTGCGAAACAACTGTGAAATCGCCAACACCCCCGTCCTCAAATCGGAGCAGTGGTTACATCTCCCGTGGCTACCGTAAACGTCGTTGCGTAAGCGTGTTGTATTTTTTATCGTGGGCATATGCTGTTCTGCGAACACCTATATCTGTGTTTATTACATCAATAACTGCAGGGTTAGCACTCGGAACAGAAATCTAACGGGGAGAGCCGTTCCTTATGTTTTCCTCCTGCAGGGCCAGGTGTCGTGTCTCATCACCACTTTAGGGCTGTCTGTAAATAGGAAGTTGGTTCCATTAGGGTATGGGAAGAATCTGTAGGATTTTGTGAGGGGGGAAAAACTAAAAATCTTGACTCGTTTTCCCTTTGAAGAGCTGGGAAAGAAGCCATTCTTGACAGAGGGGGACAGACGCATCCCCTCTGCACAGTCATGGCGGATAAAGCTTTCCTCGCCAACAAAGGTTTTTTTCGTTTTTTTTTTCTTTATTGTGCCCGAAAGTGAACTCCACATTGGCGGAAAGGGTTCTTTCATTGGATCCGTCAAGATTACCAAGCCACCTGTCACCCTGCCCGGCCGAAACACAGCGGCGTCACGAAACCACGATGAAAGTCGCAGAGCCAGTTCACCAAGTGGCAAGAGATTACAGACCCTGGGCTTCCTCCTCTCTCGGGGGACCGGGAGTGAGGTTTCAGTCGCGCCGAGCACTTTTGAAAGAATACCCATACGTTATTTAAAGGGCGGTCACGGGTCGCTGAGGCCCGGACCGTGTTCTGAGGAACTCGGGGCCGGGCGCAATTTCACGGCTGTGCAAGCGTCACGGCTGTGCACACCATGCGTGATTGTGCACGTGCGCTTTGCACAGACCCGCGTGGCATGCCGCCCCACGGCACACCTGAGCTGTAGGGTACATACACGGCCTGTCGCTGCCGGGCTGCAGACCTACACGGCGTGTTCCCGTAGCGAACACGGTAGGCAGCTGTCATTCAACAGCGAGTATGTGCGTCTCCAAACCCACAAATGGCACAGCGCAAACGTGGTGTCAATCATCTCTACGGGGCCGCCACCGTGCGTGCAAGCTGTCTGCCAAAAACGTCGTTTTGAAGGGCGCAACTGTATATTCCCCCAACTTTCCTCCTGGATTCATAGCGAAGCCATTCTGACTACGTTATAAACTAGAATGGCGTGTTTTTGTTTTTGTTTTTGTTTTTAACAAGATAACCGACCGGAAATATTCCTGCAGAATTGCGATCGTGTGGATCAAAGAGCAGGAGCAAAGCCTGCAGAGCCCCTGAGGAGCAGGTGACTTGTAGCCCAGCCCCGACTCTGGTGGAGAGAGAGAGAGACACACACATGTGTGACTTGGGCGGCATGATTTGCTTTTTTTCCTGATAACCTTTGTCCAGCCTCCTGAGGGAGGGGCGTCCGTGAAAATCCAAGGAGTTATGCAAAGGCAATTTGAAATGTTTTAAAAAAAAAAAAAATGCTTTAAAAATAACTAAATGTAGTTCCCAGGCGTGCTTCAGGTGCCGTAGGTAGCAGCACAGACGGGAGTAGCTGTTGACGGCTGTTTTGTTCGTTTGCTGTTCCAGGCGACCAGGGAGACCCTCAGCCGTCACTGCACAAACTTGGGGGACACTCTTCGGAAAGAGAATGACTTTGCTCTGATAATCGACGGGAAAACCCTCAAGTACGCCCTCACCTTTGGGGTCCGGCAGTACTTCCTGGACTTGGCTCTGTCGTGCAAAGCCGTCATCTGCTGCAGGTAAATTTCTCCTTTAATGACGTCCGGTTTCGAGCCGGGCACGCGGTGGCGCGCGCCTGTCATCCCGGCACTCTGGGAGGCCAGGGAGGGAGGATCGCTCGAGGTCAGGGGTTCGAGAAACCAGCTCCGAGCAAGAGCCAGACCCCCGTCTCTACTAAAAATAGAAAGAAATTAACTGGCTAACTAAAAAATATATACATATAGAAAAAAATGAGCCGGGCGTGGTGGTGCATGCCTGTAGTCCCAGCTACTCAGGAGGAGGCTGAGGCAGGAGGATCGCTTGAGCCCAGGAGTTGGAGGTTGCTGTGAGCGAGGCTGACGCCGCGGCACTCACTCTAGCCCGGGCAACAGAGTGAGACTCTGTCTCAAAAAAAACAAAAACAAAAGTCAGGTTTCCATAAAGAGTAACCTAACCCTAAATTCTTGGTCTCTGAAGTTCCATAGTATTATCCTGTCCAAAATGCATACATGTTAGGTTACTCATATTCATGCATTCACTCAAGACTCAAGGTTTCACAGACTGGGATGGGATTTGTCAGCGGAGGTTTTGAAAGCGAGTCCTAACGATTGTTACTGAGTGTTGTTTGTAATTTGGATGGACGGGCTTCTTGCCATTATCTGTGTCTTCAGTGGCCCATTTACCTGCATTTCCACCTGGGGCTATTTCCGGCAGGGTTCAGTTTTCTACGCTTACATCTCTGATCCCGCGTCTAAGACTTAGTTTTGGGGGGAATATTCGAGATGGAAGGTGTAAACTGAATTATTTCCCAGAGAGCTGGGCGTTTTTCTGAGGTTTATTTATTGACGATGCAGCCCCTTGCCCTCTAATTTATAATCTTGCCTATCTATATCCTAAATTAAACTCTGTTGTCAGTTCTCCAGGCCTCATTCATGGAATTGCATTTTTGTAAACTACGTAGCTCCAAGTCCTTCCTGAGTTTTCTGTCCCAGAATCTTCCCCATGTCTTTGTCTAACTTGTCTAAACTCTGTCTCCCTAGGACCCAAAGTAGGTTCATGCCTATTATGGCTCTCTGGTCTACTCTCTGATGGTCACCATGAAACCAAAGGACTTTTCTCTCTGTCATCTGCTACTTGCTTTTTTTTTGAGACAGAGTCCCATTCTGTTGCCCGGGCTAGAGTGCCGTGGCGTCAGCCTAGCTCACAGCAACCTCAATCTCCTGGGCTCAAGTCACCCTCTTGCCTCAGCCTCCTGAGTAGCTGGTACTACAGGCATGCGCCACCATGCCCGGATCATTTTTTCTATATAGTTTTAGTTGGCCAATGAATTTCTTTCTATTTATAGTAGAGACGGAGGTCTCGCTCTTGCTCAGGCTGCTTTCGAACTCCTGACCTTGATCGATCCTCCCGGCTCAGCTTCCCAGAGTGCTAGGATTACAAGGGTGTGAGCCACCTCGTCCGGCCTCTATTTGCCTTTATCATTGTCTTTAAAAATATATTCACTAATAACGGAAGGTTACGCTTCTTAAGCATTTTTTTTTCCGGTCTGGACTTAAATTCACTTAAATATCTAATGTATGATACTGTCTCTGATTGTATAGATAGTTGCTAGATTTCAGTTGCAATACACTTTCTGAAAGTTAATTTAAACCATACTCGGTAAGTAACCGTCCTTCATAAGCATCCTTTCAGCCTATAAAATTATATCTTAATCAGGGAATTAAGTTGCTTATTATCCCCAGGAGTCCAGTTATTCTAGCCATGTGATTTCTTTTTCTTCTGTGGCATGCAGTAATCTATAATACGACTGTAAAGCCCTTGAACAGTCACACATTTGTACAGATGTTTGGAGTTAGTGACGATCAGACTCTGCTTCATCGGGAAGAAAGAAAGAGTTGGAAATGATTTCGACGCTCGCGCTCGCTTCGGGATTCTCGTGCTTTCTAAAAATCTGCTTTTACGGTGGTGGCTTTCCTCGGTCCCTTGCTGACATCTTGACCGAGTCTGGCTGGCGTTTGCCTCCAGTCCACCTGCATCAGGATGATCTTATGCCAGACACGGTCACGCCTCCGTTTCCACTCACGGGATCGAAAGGATCCACAAAAGATCGCCCCCCCCCAAAGCGGGCCAGGGTTAGGGCTGGGGGCTCCTATCTGGAAATGGAGCTCAGAGCAGAACCCGGAGCAGCTGAGATAGGAATGGCTGGTTCGCTGGGGGTCCGGCATGTGTCACAGGCTGCACCTGGGAAGGCGGGGACAGGGCTTGGTTCCTGCTGTTCTGCACGCGTCTCTCTCTTTGTGTTTCCGGTCAGATCACGGCCGGCTTTGGAAGCCGTGGGAGAAGCCGATATGCTCATACCGCAGCCTCATTCTTGGGGCATATCCCTGCACCTGGCACCTCCCACTGTCCCTCGCTTAAGCAGAACCACAAAATTAAACAATAGCAGAGGAGGCTGGGCACCTATCATCAGTCTGTCATGAACCTATCATCAGTCTCACGAGGACTGTATTTTCATACATGCCGTGTTTCCCCGAAAATAAGACCTACCCATACAGTGAGCCCCAGCAGGATGTCTAACCATCTGTGCAGTAGAAGCCCTACCTTGAAAATCAGCCCCAGTGATGGGCGTGGCTATGAAAATCAGCCCTGGTGATGGGCGTGGCTATGAAAATCAGCCCTAGTGATGGGCGTGGCTATGAAAATCAGCCTTCCATGACAGACTGATGATAGGTGCCCAGCCTCCTCTGATAGTTTAATTTTGTGGTTCTGCTTAAGCGGGGACGGTGGGAGGTGCCGGGGCAGGGATATGCCCCAAGAATGAGGCTGCGGTACGAGCATATCGGCCTCTCCCCGGCTTCCAAAGCCGGCCGTGATTGACCGGAAACAAAAGAGAGAGACGCGTGCAGAACAGCAGGAACCAAGCCCTGTCCCGCCTTCCCAGGTGCAGCCTGTGGACACATGCCCGGACCCCAGCGAACCAGCCATTCCTATCTCAGCTGCTCCGGTTCTGCTCTGAGCTCCTTTCCAGATAGGAGCCCCAGCCCTAACCTGGCCGCTTTGGGGGGGCGATCTTTTGTGGATCCTTTCGATCCCGTGAGTGGAAACGGAGGGTGACCGTGTCTGGCATAAGATCATCCTGATGCAGGTGGGCCGAGGCAAACGCCAGCCAGACTCGGTCAAGATCTCAGCAAGGGACCGAGGAAGCCACCACCGTAAAAGCAGATTTTTAGAAAGCACGAGATCCCGAAGCGAGAGCGAGCGTCAAATCATTTCAACTCTTTCTTTCTTCCCGATGAAGCAGAGTCTGAGTCACTAACTCCAAACATCTGTACAAATGTATGACTGTTCAAGGGCTTTACAGTCGTATTATAGATTACTGCATGCCACAGAAGAAAAAGAAATCACATGGCTAGACAATAACTGGACTCCTGGGGATAATAAGCAATTCATTCCCTGATTATGATATAATTTTATAGGCTGAAAGGATGCTTATATGAAGGATCGGTTACTTACCGAGTATGGTTTAAATTAACTTTCAGAAAGTGTATTGCAACTGAAATCTAGCAACTATCCTATACAATCAGAGACAGTATCTAACATTAGATATTTAAGTGAATTAAGTCCAGACGAAAAAAAATGCTACTCACCTCCCTCATCAATATACTCTCTAGCACAGCACTCGACGCTCCCCTTTGTATCCTCCCTCTGGGAAGGCCAAGCGGAGGCTCCAACCCCGGTCAGGAGTTCGATAAAGCACACGCCCA